TTCATCAGGTTTATACACGGTCGGGTGGACGATATCAAGTGATCAAGACACTTAGACCTGCCCGAGGCCTTCCAGCCGAGTGCCGGTCCCAGACCAGAGTGTGGGCCCATGTCAGAGGGGTCGAGTCATCAGCGAGCCAGGCCATGGAGCCCTGCAGGGAAGTCCGGACGCCCCCAGCGCTGCTGCCCGGAAGGTCAGAGTCAGTGACCCCAGAGTTAGGGCGGAGTGTTTGTGCGCAGGTTGGGGGCATCGTATCTGAATGGAACGTGGTGCTGCTTCCCCCGCCTCCCTGCCCCTCACCGCCTGCGGGGCGGCGTTGGCGTTAGGTGTGGGTCTGAGCAGGCCAGTGACCAGCTGCGCCTGGCACAGAACAGAGACACGCCCTCCCCTCCCCGCGTTCCGGGTGCAGACTGAGCCCACCAGAGGTGGGACTGGAATCTCAACTCCTGATTCTACTGGGGAAGAACCGGGCAGGCCTCGGACTGGAGGTGACCTGTGTGCTTTAAGTGGAGCCGGTGCTGGAGGCGGTTCACTTCGAACCACCCCCAGGGCGGCCCTGTCCTCCTGCCGGTCAGCTCCGTCCTCCAGTGCCTGGGCTGGGGGAGTTGGGGAGGCCATGCCCACAGAGCCGACTGTGTCCCATCCCCCAGTCCTGGGTAGAAAACAACTCAGATAAAAGGCGAGTCCCGGGGCTCTGTGTGGCTGTCGTTCCTGCCTCTGTCCGCTGTCCGCTGCACACAGGCTGCTGGCTGTGCTCAGGCAAATGGAATGGAAAGTATCCTTCCCCGAATTTAACATTTAAACAGAACTGCGTTCCTGGGGCAGTGTGTGTTAATCCCAATGGAAGTGCTTCGAGGAGGCGGGGACTGTGACTCCAAGCGTTTGAAACAAGAAGCCTGTGGACAGCCAGGGCCATGCCTGCAGCTCCGTGTCTCCAGCACCTGGTCTGGGGGTCAGGGGTGGCGGGAAGGGGGTGGGGGAGGAGATGGAGGATGGGGGCAGTGCGGTATCTA